AAGCGTACAAATTAAAAATGCAGTCTTTATTCGGAACACATCTCTGCTGTTTCTGATCACAGATTACATGATAAACAGAAAAACACAAGAGCTTGTATTTATATAGCGAACATTTTCTGTGTTTTCTGTTCATTGTGTCATCCAAATAAAAACTGGAGAAGCAAGTGACGTTCTTTGGCTCCGACCCACATGAGAAAACGTTCCCAACATAGAACACCACCATCGGGAGAGGGGGTGCAGATGCCGCTGGAGTCTCCTCTTCTCTCCTCCGCACACAGAGTGAAATTCTCCGACTCTCATACAGAAAAATAATTTAATTTATAAAACTGGAGCTAACATGTTAAGCAATAAAGCAGCTGAGAGTTAAAGACGGTCTCTAAAGTTGACAACAAGCTAGCCTTGCATTAGCAGCATGCTGCTTGTTACCGGCGGTTCTCACGGCTCATTTTTTCTTTCACTCAGCTAAGTATTATTTCATATTTTATTTTTAATTCACCAAATACACAGCTGTAGGGTTTTGAAACGCCAAAGAGAAGCCTTACCTTTTACTCAGATAAATCGGTCGACCCCTATTTCCGACTCTCACCTTTGGTCGTAGATCGTAGATGCAAGCAACAGAAATGAACTTTCTCCGCAGTGTGGCTGGACTCTCCCTTAGAGATAGGGTGAGAACCTCAATCATCTGGGAGGGGCTTGGAGTAGACCTGCTGCTCCTCTACATCAAGAGGAGCCAGTTGAGGTGGCCCAGGCATTTAGTTAGGATGCCTCCCTGGTGAGGTTGTCCGGGCACATCCAAACGGGAGGAGACAATGTCTCTCGCCTGGCCAGGGAACACCTTAGGATTACCCTGGAGGAGCTGGCCCAAGTGGCTGTAAGGAGGGAAGTCTGGGCCTCCTAGCTTAGGCTGCTACCCCCGTAACCTGAACCGGATAAGCGGCCGAAAATGGATGGGTGGCTGGATGGGGGTTGAAGAAAATGCTCATGTTCAGCAAGCATGTGAAACGGCCGATGGTATTTCAAAAAGAGCAAGAGTTACACAGTTTCTCAGTGAACAAGACTTTTAAAACTATCCTTTTTCTGCTAATTTGATATTCAGTCCTGAATACCTTTCCATCATCTTATTTCAGCAGAACCATTTCAAATGAGGAAATTCTGTTTCATTTGAAGAGTTTGCCAGTCATAGTTGCACCAAAATGAGGACAGGGAGTAGCCAAAGTATCAAAGGTGTAAAAGTCAAGCAGCTCTTGGCCAGTAGAGCCCTTTTAAACTTTGTACGTCTAAAGTTTTTACAAAACCTGACTCAAACTGCTGGGAGGATTATGGTAAAGCCTGTATGCTTGGCCCTTGGCCTTGAGAAATGTTAAGAAGTCTTCTTATCCCCAGTTCAAATGGATTTACTATTTGGTGAACTCTTGCTAATATGTAGGTAGTACAATTCTAACTTGCATCAATCCTATTTGAGTTGAACTTATTAATTATCTCTGGAATTACATGGCTGGAACAAAACAAGGAGGCAAATGTATCAACATGCCTCTGGCCATCATTTCCCCACGTAAGAAACACAGTGAAGGCAAGCGTTTGCTTTTGGAATTTGAAACGGTGTCCTTGTTTATGAAAGCTCAGGTTACATGGAAACTGGATGATCTGTAGCTGTTTTTGACTATATTTATAATGAAACCTTATAATTCCCATGGTGACAGAATCGTCTGTGCTTTATGAAATGCTCTAAACTGTGTTCAGCTTTCAGAGCATAATCTTTGCCTTGGTTTGGGGCATTGAGATAGAAGATTACCTGGGGATTACTTAAATTCATACTTATTTCCCAGCAGTTTTGTTAAATTTGCAGTTTATGTTTGTGCTTTTTTAATGCGAGGTGCTACTGAAAGGTAGATATAAGGGAGTGTTCTCGTATATTTTATGGTGTTTTCATTGTGTGACTTGTCTGTGATTTTTGCATGTTCTCCCTCTGCTTTTTAATACCATAGCAGTCACACTATAATAAATGACACGAGGGCACTTAATGTGAAACTGAGGAGGAGGGAGGGGAGGTTATAGTCATTCTGCAGCGGCTGTGTGCGGATGGCAGTGAGAACTTAATGTTAATCTTAATGACAGATGATAGAGGATGCAACATTCTGCCACGGTGTGTGTGACAGAGTTATTGTCCCTATGATTAACTCCACCACGTTCTCAGCCCTTTCCCCTGAGAAAAAAACCGAGATTAAGCATAAATAGAAGTACCACTGTTTAGTTCTTCATCAAGAAATGCTCTTCACTTTTGCCCACCCTTATTTCCTCTGTCTGCCTATCCCTCTCTCGCTCTCTCTTTGGGGCCATCACTGGTGATAAACACTGGTGGTTTCTATCAGCGGGATGCACCTGGCATTAACGCAAACGCTTAAAAAAGTAATTAGTGGGCATTTGTGACTCCTCTCCTCCCTGTAGATGCCCTATAGGCAGTGTAATAAATGAGTGCCTGGATCTATAGGAATAGAATGGCGGTGATTTCTGCCGTCATCGTTCAGCACCCTGACGCAGAGCAATGGCCTTGTCACGTGTCCTAGAAAATGACTGAAGCTCACACTGATGGATACACAAATGTAGAACGTCTCCCAACAGTATAATATTCTAGCCTGCACTGTAAGGATGAATGGTGGTGCATGGTTCTAGTTGTAGACCTGCTCCAGAACCTAATTTAAATATCCTCATGCTCAAGATAAGACTTTAGCCTGCGGCAGGTTTGCTTGGAAATTGATTATTATTCATCCCTGAGTTTTAATTGTTGAATATTTGGAGGCAGCACCCCATATTGTTTTAATTTGTCAGCAAGTTGCCAGCAAGGACTGTATAGATTTTTGCAGCACTGTGAACCAGTAAGACCATGTGGTGATGCACATATGTACTTGTCTCGATTGCTACAGCTTCCTGCTGCATTGCACCCTGAGTAATGACCCATGCATCCAATCCCCCACTTTGTATCCAACAGGGGGTAATTTTTCTCTCCAGGATGCAAATCAAACATCTGATTCTGACTACAGGGGCTTGGCTCCACCACCCAATATTCCTTTGAGAGGTCCGGAGTTGCTGGCAGGCAAAATCCCATTCCCTTTCACACCAGTGCGAGGCGTGTTTAGTGGGGCAGATGCTGAGTCCTGAGCAGTGATGTGAGCAAAACGATGACACCACTATTAGCATAATGGGCCAATAGGCATGTGCAAACGTAGTCATTATGGATTTTTATGGGGTGTGTGAAGAGACAGACAAAAGCAGTTAATGCTGCAGGACACCAGTGCTGCTGGGAAGTCCCGCTGCTAGGTCTAGAGACAACATCCAACTCTTGCATAAAAATCATTTAAACATACAAAAGTGTAGAAATATCCTTCATTAAAATACCAATTACATCAGCGTAATTAGCAGCAGGTGATACATTTAAACATTATCAGGTGAAGTTATGCGCTGCCTACAATATGAATATTTTTGATTCATTCTCCCAAATGGATACAAAACTATGAAATTTTCCATTTTTCCAGTTTGTAAATATTTAATCATTTTTTCATGCATTACACAATTTGTCCTGACTAATCAGATGCTTTTTTTTTTTGAAGGAAACATTAAAGATGTGGTCCACTCTTTTAATCAGTACATTTCCAGTGGTCTCTAGTAGGAATGAATGCTTTGTAAGTTGTACTCTGAGTACAAAAAGAAGGCCTGATATGACTGTTTCAGGAACTAGAAGACTGTCAGATCAGAAGAGAGCTTCAGACAGCAGGATTTGGAGTCTTACTTATTAATATTTGGACATATTACCTAGGGATGCACTGATCAGGTTTTTTGCTGCCGATCACCGATACCGATATCAAAGAATGCTGATCACCGGTACCGATCACGTGGATTGACCAGAAATTTTCTACAACATTATAATGAGTGCTACAAACTACATAATCTGGGAATAAAGGAAACATAACCTAATCTAAAATGGTCTGATCGGTCTGCTTTGATCTATTTTGAAAACTCCGATCAAAACCGATAGGGGTGCTATCGTCCGATTGGGATCAAATGCCGATCCATCGCTGCCTCCCTAATATTACCTCTGATTGTCTAACAAGCAATGCAGCTGTACCACTGACTTGCAATGTTGTTTTACCTCCACGAATAACAAAAGCCTGCAGGAGTTTAGCCATGTTGTGGAGTTGCTAATGCTAACGGTTAGCTTCAACTAGGCCGACACGTTCTCTGCTATTTCCTGACGCTAAACCAACAACTGCCTTCCCTGTCGCGAGCCAAGGTGGGTGAGTCCGTGGATGTTGAGGCATTTGAAATCCTAGCATTTCACCATCTATTTTCTATCAGAAGCTAATGCGGGGAATAGGTGTAGGAGACTTTTTTCATGTTCAGCCTGCATGAAAAACTCGGAGACCATTTATAATCAGAAATAGTCAATAAAAAATGTTTTTTCAGTGTTCTATATCTTTAACTTTCTGAGGCTGTCCTCACCGCAGTCCAGCAGCACTGATGAATCTCCTGTTTTTACAGGATGGAAATTTTGTTTCAGTTTTTAGGAAACCGTCTGGCCTCTCCAGGGAAATGCTGAGGTGTACACAGCAGGTGTGGACCAATGACCTGCCTTTCAGCAAAGCAATACAGTTCTGTTGATTCTTGCGTCAGGTGTTTTAGAATGGAATCACACACACACACACACACACACACACACACACACACACACACACACACACATCTGTGGGCTCTAACTACATGGCCTCTCTTGAGATAAACCTAACAATGTTTTGTTCTTCCTTTTCATTGCTGTCATTCTTGTCATTGAGCAACATTATGCGTTTAGTTAGTTTAACATTTTTATCCACCCATTCTTTCCTGTGTTACGTACATGTTTGTGTCTTACACTTTTGATTTGGTTTTGTTGTCCTCCATCTTCTCACCTCCTGGTAAATGCAGTATTTTCTCTTTTCACACTCTTCGGTATGTCTTTCTCGCCCCTGCAGGAGGTATGAAGTGAATCCTGTGTGTGCAGACCTTCAGGGCCAGGTCCTTTCCTGTTACAAGGAGAATGCTGGAAAAACTCTGAACTGCTCCAACATAGCAGCTCTTTACCTTCAGTGTGTCAACAATGCCAAACAGGTGCGTTTTAAACTGAATTATTTGTTTGAAAGTCAAAAGTGTTGCGGTTCAAATATCTGTCCTTGTTGCAAGATGGTCGCATGACCCTGCATGGAGAAGCGGGCATAGAAAATGGAAGGATGAATGCCAAGTTCAAGGAATTACATGTAATCAAAGTATTTTACACCAAACTGCAAATCTATCCCACGTTATTAACTCCTTTACTTCAACTACTAATTATGACAAGTCTGTCTTACACATCATCCCACTCCTTAAGGAGAAATCATCCTTACAGTCACAATAATCACCAAAACCACCTGCCTACTATAAAATGTGCTAGATGAGCTCTGACCCATGGAGACATCCACACAGACCCTCTTGAGGGGTTCTGTTGTGTTTGGCACGGCGACATTGGCAGAAGATGTGTTGAGACCTGTGGGATGGGGGTGGTGCTTGTGCGGGTGGATGTGGTTCCAGTGCACTTCGAGGATGCTCTATTGGATTGGGATCTGGGGAGTTTGGGAGCTGGTTTTGCTCAGTTTTTGTATTCATCAAATCCTACCTGAGCAGGTTTTTGTAGCGACGAGGAAAATTTTCACGCTGATGAAGGCTGATACTCAAAAATAAGGGTTTTGTCAAAAAATGATATGTATGTGAACAAAAATAACTTTTATTGTTAGAAGATGCTTATGAGATACTTGGATATGCCAAAAAGTGCTGACACACATACAGGTGTCTTTTTTTAAATATTTAATTATTTTATAGTGCAGACTTCTGTAGTTATTTCTAGACAAATCATCCTTTTAATCAAACCATTCTCAACTAGAGGCCGATATTGGTTTTGCTATTGCCGATACCAATGCCGATATATATAGGAGTCATGGTCAGCTGATGGCCGATATCTAGGCATTTTCTGCCTTATTTTAATGCTAAATGTCACTAATAACATCAGTTGATGCACAAAATCTTTGAAGCGGAATCAGTTTTTTTACTCTAAATTTAACTAACTGTTCAATCTTAACTTTGTGCACTGCTCAGTGTTAAAGTCAGACACCTAAATAAATTTAATTTAGAGTATTTATCATGCAGATGCTATTAGTGAACGTAAAAATACATTTAAATTCAATTCTGTAACAGAACCAGGCCGCCCGAGCATGTGCCTGACTTTAAATTGACTTTATTAAGGACAAATCGGCTATTGCAGATACATTAAAAAAATAATAATAATAAATTAAAAAACAACAGTAAATATCGGCCCAATATATCGTTCTACCCCTATCACTCAACAGTAGGACATTCAGATCTAAGCTTTTTCTTTTGTGTATTTTGGGTAAAACTGGATATAATTGGATGGGAACCCAGCTAATGAGGGTCTGTTGAGTTTCAGTGCTGTTTGAGATCAACTCATCTAACGGCTATAAATCTGCACCGTTTTCTCGTTAGAAGACAAACATTTTCAAACAAAAGGATGTCACATCAACCTGAACATATCCCAACTTTTCAACCCAATTCTTTTCCTTTTTGAAAGAACGACAAGCATGTGCAAGCACCTTCCTGGACAGACGACGTGTAAGTCCCTTATCTGGTTAAGTAGTTGTACGTGGTGTAATCTGTGTTACAGAAGTATTCCCATCCAGCTGCAGCATTTGTCACTGACCCTATAGTTACGTCCAGCACAGCTTTCCCTTTTTAATGTCTAGATGAGTTGATGTAATTTGCACAAGCACACACCCTAACATGCATTTACAGTACACCCTCTGACTGCTGGCTGTTAGACAGGAAGATGTCATTTCCTGTGTGTTTCTGGCGCCTGAATAAAACTCTTTAAATAGCTGGTTTGAACCTTACAGTATATTTCCATAATACCTGCTGACACAGGCGTTCCCGACTGTCTCCGTGTATGTTTTAATGTAATAAGTCCGGGAGAGCAGCAGCCACTGGTTGGACATCCTCGTCTCGTCTGTGCTCCCTCTGTTCATTACTGAGTGCAAATGTTTTTTCATCCTCCATCTCCCACAGTCAAAACATTCTGGTTATAGTCATGTCACTCAGGGTGATATTAACTTGATTCCCCTTCTCTCACATTGCAATATCTACCGTCCGTTGCCCTCAAAAAGACTCAATTTGCATTCATAGAGCTTTTCTATTAGATTTTTTGCAATTGCATTGTTTCCCCGGAAAATGGAGAAAACCGAGTTTTGCGTCTCGGTCACTCTCGTGGGCATAGTATTAGATCCAAAAGTCAGATGCAGGCAGATTTTTAAGCTATACATCATGTAAATTGCACAATGTTTTATTCATCCTGCGGACGTGTGTATTCGTGTGCGCGCTTGTGCACATTTAAGGAGGCTACCTGTACACTCGTTGGGATGCAGCAAGAGCATTTTCACGTTCTGGAAGCTGTTAGGATCTTTTAAAATGTTTGGAAGCGAGCCTGAGACAAAATGGTAATCCGCTTGTGTTTATCAGCCTGCAGCAATCACAACCCACTCCTGTTCATCTGTGCTTATCTGTCTTAAGACTTGCCTTTAAAGTCATTAGGTGCAAAAGAGACAGTTGTGCGATAAGGCTTTAAGGGAATAATGGGCAGAATTACACAGCCGACAGAATAGAGGGGAGCAATGAAGGAGGTTTGATATGAGCTGATGCAGGTTCTTGATTTGGATGTTTATGCAGCTTTATCAGAGGCAAGCAGGACGCTGCGGTGAGTATAAATGCCAAAGGACACGACTTTTATTTCTGGAGGTCAGAAGATCCAAAGGTGACCTCCAACCAGTGTCTCCTGCCCTCTCAGTCCGATGCACACGGATAGAGATATGGATGGCTGAGATATCATCTAATCACAGCTGAGAACTCCATGAGCCAAATCTCAGATTCAAAGCTGACCCCTCAACAGAAGCTGACCAAGACAGAAGTGTTGTCTGTCAGCTGCCTGGCCTTTGTCACTGATAATTAGCCCTCTTATCACAGCAGTCACTGATAACATTTAGACCCACTTTTGCTCTCCTTTGTGCCCTCCTCACCTCACCTGTACACTTCCTTCTCTCCTTCCATCCTTCATCCCAAGTCACATTTCTAATGCATTCAGCTCTTAACAGGTCTGATAGCAAGCGGCAGGAAAAAGAGGTGGTCAGAGGACAGATAAACTCTCCCTTCTTCTTCTCCTTCTGTCATTGAATAGGAGTTTATCACTGAGGCTGATCTCTCCATCCACTGCTTGCTGCCTCATTCCATATTCTTGCTGCATGGCTGCCTTTTGCTCCCTATCTTTTCTTTCTCCACTTTATTTTTTAAGGCTGACCCTTCCGTCTCCCTGCCACTCTCAAAGGGCTGAGCCAGATTCCTGTTTGAGGTTTAAACAGCCCTATATCAGGCAGAGACGTATTAGTAAGCACTGTCAATGAAAAACCCTTCCAGCTTGTTAGACGTAGCATTTCTCTGAGCAGCTCAACATGCTTTTGAGTTTATAATTTCTGTAATTATGCTTGAAATACTATCATGTTTCATGTCTTTATCCATCCATCCATCCATTTTCTGAACCCGCTTTGTCCAAGCAGGGTCGCGGGGTTTCATGTCTTTAGCTGAGTGGAAATGTTAATGATTAGCTTCTACTAGCCGAGACTTGGAATGCGTTCTCCCGGCCGCTAAAACAACACAGCCTGCAGCGGTCGCTAGACGAGGTGGGCGGGGCATTAAATGTTTTCCCAGTGATGTAGAAGAGGCTAGCTTTTAATGACCCATCTATTTCTTTCCCGCGGCTAACGTTGAGGACGGGGGCTGAAGAAAGTTTTCACCATGAGCATGCATGTGAAACACACGATCACACGGTTTCTCCGTGAACAAGACCTCAGAAGGAAAAGAATTTGTATTTGCACAAATATTTGCATTAACAATATTTTTTCAACATAGGGACTGATTTCAAGTCTTGTTTTTTAATTTTTGAGAATTTTAATGAGCTGTGACCATCCTGTTGATGTTTTGGTCCTAATCTAGACTTTTGCTGTGCAGCTGGTATGCTAGGAGCAGCTGTTTTTATAGCCAATATTTGTTTTACGGATAGATCAATAAAGGGAAAAATAAACTCGGATTTCTTTAGAGATCTTCCAGTGCTGTTATTAAGTTGGCGACTGAGGAAACGGGTATTTTTGTTCCTTAGCTTTTATCCCCCCCCCCCCAACTCATCTTCTCTGAGGTGGTTTTGTTGTCGCCTCTGCTGGAGTACGCTGGCTCGAATGGTTATTGACGGGGAGTGCTGGGGATTTGTGGTTGCACTTATCACTAATATGGAATCCAGTGCCCTTGGGTCCCTTCCATGCTTCTTCAACTCACTTCATCCTCTCCTCTTTTATTGTACTCCCAAGCTGTCCTCTCTTTGTGTCGTCTTTCATGTGTGAAATAATATCTTTCCCTTCTGTTTGTCTGTTTTGATAGATATTTTTGCCTTTCCTTCTCTGATGCACTTTCCTTTTTGATCTGTCTGCAGAACAAGCTGAGGACCGGGGGATAAGGGTGAGAAGGAGAATGAAGCAGCAATGCAGAGCATATTGTGAGGGATTGTTGATGGACGGTTGGACTGACAAACTAAACCAGAGTGGAGGAATGAGTCCGCACCAAAACACGCACCTCTAAAACCCAGATTAGACCAAAACCAGACGAGAGGCACTGAACACAACAAGGGGAGAGGAATGAAGCCATTTTTCCTCCACATCCCTTCCTACCTCCTTTACCCTTTGTCTCTGTCTCCTGTGATCTTGACAGAGTGGTAGTGATACATCTGATGTTCAACAGGACACAACAGGCCTGAGCTTGGCAATCAGCGTTAACCAGAAGCGCCTGTAGAAGACCAGCTGCTTCTGCCACATAGATCCATTTCCACTTGTTTTATGTGTTCATATTATTACATTTAAATGGTTTTCCTGTTCTCAGTAATTTATTTCCTTCCTCGTGCACTATGGTGTCGACAAATACGCTTCTGTTTGTCTGACTTCACTTATGTTCAGCATTTATCCACACCAACACCAGAAATAAAGACGAAACAACAATGAACTGTTGCTGAATTTATTTTTTCACCTTTCAGTCCAGCATCTTGAGGGTGCATACTTGTTGGCTTTGCTTTAACTAATAAAAAATATTTGTTAATTTTTTACAGCTGGTTTGTTGGCAAAAAGGAGTATTTAAAAAGTATTTACCATGTTTTTTCAGTAGCAGGTGGGTCAGCTTGATTGTGCCGTCAGATTAAAGGAAGAGAAAGGCCTAAATTGCAGCATTTTAGATGATACACTCCTTATTCTGCCAGCCTCCATGTTTCTTGTTCTAAATAATCCATCTGAACCCTTTTTTTTGGGTGAGTGGCCATAATTGATTATTCGTGCCTGAACCAAGCAATGTTTTGTTAAATTACAAAAAGCAAAAAAAAAAAATTTTTTAGGTTTTAAAAAACTAGAAAACAGTTAAATCCATCCATCCATTTTTCACCACTCATCCTTAGTCGGGTCGCGGAGGCAGCAGCCTAAGTAGGGATGCCCAGACTTCCCTCTTCCCAGCCACTTGGGGCAGCTCTTCCAGGAAAATCCTAAGGTGTTCCCTGGCCAGCTGAGAGACATGGTCCCTCCAGCGTGTCCTGGGTCTTCCTATAGGTCTCCTCCCAGTTGGACGTGCCCAGAAAACCTCACCAGGGAGGCGTCCAGGAGGCATCCTGACCAGATGCCCGAGCCACCTCAGCTGGCTCCTCTCGATGTGGAGGAGCAGCAGATCTCCTCCAAGCCCCTCCTGACTTCTCACCCTTTCTCTAAGCGGGAGTTGAGCCACCCTGCAGAGAAAACTAATTTCAGCCGCTTGTATCCGTGATCTCGTTCTTACTACCCAAAGCTTGTGACCATAGGTGAGGGTAGGAACATAGATCAACCAGTAAATCGAGAGTGTCACCACCCAGCTCAACTCTCTCTTCACCTCAGACCGGTACAGCGCCTGCATCACTGCAGTCGCAGCACCAATCCACCTGTCGATCTCCCGATCCATCTCTCCCTCACTGGAGAACAAGATCCACAGATACTGAAACTCCTCCACCTGAGGCAGGATCTCTTCCCTGACCTGTAGAAGGCATTCTACCTTTTTTCAACTCAAGACCATGGTCCTGGAACAAAATTTGAATCCTGAAAGGTTAAAGTATTCTTAATTAAAAAGGAAGTTTAAAATTAAATTCAAGGGTTGAAATCACATTTTCCAGTATTTCAATCTGAAAGGCTGAGCAGCTTGTTCTAATTTCCCAAAACATATGATTAAGTTTTTAGATCATAAAGTATGGAGTTCAGAACACATGAACTAAAAGAATTTTACACTTTTATAATAAAACGTGTAATTAAAGGTTCTCATTTGTAACATGGGTGTTTTTTGTGCCAAAAGCTTCTCTTTCCCTCTTCAGTAGAAACAACTAAGCAGTGTTATCAGCAGCCTCCCACTACTAAAACATTCTTCTAGCCAAAGCCATTTTTAGTTTTTCTCCTGGAGCTTTGTGTCTTCATTCCACAACAGCAACTCTACCTGCGTGCAGAGTAGAAATAGATTAGATACCAGATGACATCTATAGTGAATTTGCATCCAGTTTACTGAAGCTTCATGGACACATTGTCCCAGAAGTTGGTTAAACTCAGCATGTCAGGTCCTAAAACCATAATACACTTTAATGAATCTCATCAGCGTTGTGAAAACCTGTAAGTCGATACAGGAGATCAAATATATGTATATTCCTCTTGTTATTTGTGTAGCTTTACCGCTTGATTCAACAACTTTATACTTGCCTGTGTGTGTGTGTGTGTGTGTGTGTGTGTGTGTGTGTGTGTGTGTGTGTGTGTGTGTGTGTGTGTGTGTGTGTGTGTGTGTGTGTGAGAGAGAGAGGGCTGTTGTGACTAATCCTCTGTGTGTTGGTCAGCTGTCTGTGCTTTTTGACTTTTGGTCTCAGTGGGATTGACTTCTTCCAGACGCTGAACGTGTGTGTGTGTGTCTGTGTGTGTGTGCATGTGTGTGTGGGAGGAGTTTTGGATAATAGAAATTGGGGTTAGCAGCAGGTGATTCTTGGTAGAACAAACCCAGATAATTTTGTCTCACTATTTTTTCCCCAGTCTGCTTGTTCCATCTGACCAAGTGCTGCCCAGAATAATCACGTTGAGAGTATTTTATGTATGTAATAGGATTACAATTAAGGATTACAATTAAATTAAAATATAAGCATGACAAATAGGCAAAACAGGTTTTATCCCAAATGCACCCCCAAAAGGGTCAAATCCCAATAAAATTAATAATAATAATACATCAAACTTGTTTAGGACACTCAAAGACGCTTTCACACACTCTCACATCCACACACTGCTTGTGATGGTAGGCTACTTTGTAGCCACAGCGGTCTGACAGAGGCGAGGCTGCCATTTGGCACCGTCGGCCCCTCTGACCACCACTAAGACAGGCAAGTTGGGTGAAGTGTCTTACCCAAGGACACAACAGCAGGATACCCCTGGTGGGAGCTGGAATTGAACCCGTGACCCTCCAATCATGAGGCAAACTACTCTACCTCCTGAGCTACTGCTGCCCGTAAATTGAATGATGTAAAAATCCTGTTATACATGACGTATATTGAACAGATAAATTCCAGTTAGTTACAGGTATAAATGTGTCTGTTTAGTGTGATGATTTAAAAGTGGGGGAGAAGTTGAACAAGTGTCCTAAAAAGACGCTAAAGGGTTGTTTAGTTTTATTCTAACAACTTTTGCTTAACGTCTAAGTTAAACTTAGTTCTCCTCTGACGTTCTACTCTTTGATGTTATTTGCTTGCCATACCATTAAAACCATTAGAATAATTCTGGTTTCCTGCATTTGGATTTTATGAAACAGAACCACAGTCGTGTGTCATTTTGAGCTTCCAGTTTTTATTTGCTAGAAAACACAAATATTAGAGTTGATTTTGTGTTTTAGGAAAAGTATTTATTAATCATTTTTAAAAGTTGAACATGTTTTATGACTTTATGGTTTGGGTAGATTATTTCTGTCACTCGCAGACCTGTCATGAGAAGTGTTTGCCCCTGAAAAGCTGCATTATTTCCTCTGCCAGCCCTCTTTGTCCTGATTATCTCTGCTCCAGATAATGCAAATTGTTATGATAATTCTTTTTTTATCAGGCAGAAAGGAAGACCGCCGAAGGTCAGCTGCTCGATCACCGAGGGAAGACTTCTCTGTTTTGTTATTAGCTGCTGATCTGACACATATGGCCAACGGCACATCATGGAAGCAGCATAACACAATTCTGACTCTAAATCAGCTGTGCAGCAAAGGTTAGGGCAATATTAGAGGTCTTCACCTCATATCAAATCCTGATCAACTCAAAGTCAGTTTCCAACAGGAAGTCCTGCTAAAGTCGTGGTTAGAGGCCACAGTGTTTCAAATCATGACCCAAATAAAGTCGTGCTTATTTTCTAAGCTGTTGTAGAAAAAAATGCAAAAGTGAACTTTCCATACCCTAATTGAAGATGATTAATGTTACCTGCTGGTGGAGATGCTAATTTTAGAGTCTTAGCATAAACAATGCTGGCGTTTGTACCTTTTTTGAGCCGTGAGATCGAGTGTGAACCGATGGTCCTCTGCACCACTCTTCACACTGCTGTCTGAATTTTCTTTCTTTTATAGTAGGAACTGTAACTTTTAACTCTCTCTGGAACCAGTTCCTGCACTGGGCTGCATGCAGCCATTGAGATGAAGCTACAATTTTATTTTAATGTTTTAGTGATATTTCTCTCCAATAGAGCTTCGGGAGTTGACGTCACTTCTCCCGGCATGCAACAGTTCAAATCGAAACGACGCCATCTTGGCAGGCAGAAGCCCGCAGCTGGACTATTTGTTATTGAAAACTCAATCAAATGGGAAATATGGTAGATTCCTGTTGTGCCCCAGGATGTAGAACAGACACGGACAACATAAGGAATTCCATCTACAGGATTCCCCAAGATCCGGAGTGCCGCAAACATTGGATCATTATAATAAAAAGCGCTAGTGACCGGGCTAAAATGAAGCTGTGGGATCCCGAGAGTAAAGGTTTTTGCTTATGCAGCGACCACTTCATATCAGGTACTTAAACCAACGTTTCCTCAACTGTGTATGGTATTTATTTTAAATGCTTTTATTACGATTCTTAGTGGGCTTCCTAAACTTATTTTGGCGTGGCTTTTTCTGTCTTATTACTCATAGCAACAAGTAAACATCACGTAAAACGTTGCCTCGTGATTTCTGCGTGCTGCCGTTTCCGTGTTTTATGATCACAGCAATTAACCGGCTAAGCTGTATTTAATTTTTAAGCAATGATTGATCAATTGTCAGATCACACATAAAAAGCACTTTGGATTGCTATTATCTGTCTCACCGAGACAGATCTCAGACAGATCCTGAGACGCTCCTGTCTGACATATTTATTTTATTCACGGAAAAAAATATCAAACTAGTGATTTCTCTTGGCATTCAGTTTATACATTAAACAGCACAGCACTCTATTTAAACTACTTACATGTAAATCTATGTTATTTGTCCATCCATCCATCCATTTTCATCCACTTATCCAGAGTCAGGACGCGGGGACAGTACCCTTTGTTGAGAGGCCCAGACTTCCCTCTCCCCAGCCACTTGGGCCAGCTCCTCCGGGGGAATCCCAAGGGGTTCCCCGGCCAGGTCTAGTAAGAAGTCCGCTCCGACAGCTTCTGGCGTTTTTAAAAAGTATCCCAGGGGCACGGTAAGGGTCGGAGATGTTTAGTCTATTTAATTTCTGACTATATAAAACGATTTCTTTGGTTTTAAAGTGTGAAGTAAACTCCGACGAAGTAAAATCCAAGCCGATCCCGTTCATTTTGTTTACATTTGTTGCCTGCCAACATGGTGTCTACTCTCTGAGAGTCACGTGACGTCCGGAGCTCTATACTGCTACTAGTACTACCTGGTTTTAAAAGGAAATAGAAAAAGAGCACGATGCTGTTAACTGTACTACAGAAAAGCAACATCCTCCATCATGATGA